GTCCTTATTGTCTTATTGGAATACTTGATTATTATCATGGGAAAAATGAGATTTTTGTATTACCTGTAACTTAATTTTCACTTGTTCCTCATAGGATATTGAACTTTGAATCTTGTGATTATGATCTGAGAGCACTACTACTATGCTATAGATCTACAGATTATCTCTCATTTTAAAAAGACTCTATTCTTGTTGTTGTATCTCTTTGATTCATATATAGACTATTTGATGAATAGCTTTTTAATCCTTATTATTAATCTCTACTTTATCAGTAATATATTGGACTACACTATACTATTGATCCACAGGTCTAAAAATATAATATTTTTATATAATATAATCTTAAATATAATTTATTATTTTAATATTTTTAAATAACTCTTTCTGCTAATCCTCTGACCACATACAAAAAAGATGTTTTCAAGAAGTTTTTATACTTCCTTGATAATAAAGTCTTAACACTTTCTTTAAAACAACTTGAAGTATGACTTCAAAAATCACTTTTACCCTTTTCTTATTGTCTACAAATCTCTTCACTCAAAAACTTAACTTCTATTGAACAAGAAAAGTCAAGTAGTACCTTTGATATTAATGACAAGAAAGTTCTCAAAGAAAGAAGAATTAATTGTAAAGTATCTAAAGATTTTTCTAATCTTTGAAGTAAGAAGCTTATAGAGATTTTTTCAGTAAAAAGGCTTATTTTTTTTTTTTTAACTGTTTTGACCCTCTTAGAACTTCCATGTTTATAGTTTTCTGGAGAATTTTGTCTATCTCAGTTTAACCCTAAATTTTGGATAGTACAAATTCTTATTAAAGATGATTGGCTGACATGAAACATGTCAGTTTTTGGAATGTAAACAAGCTTCTATTGATTATACTTATGTGTATCGATACATTATTGGTAATATAAAAAAGAAAGTTCTAGAAAAAGTATTACGTCCAATCATATATATTCAACCTCCAGAAAACAATTATGATATTGAAAGGCAAGTGATGAGTAAGAATAGAAGATCTAATTCCTATCTCTCATTAAGTTCTTCAGGTGGTGAAAAGATTTTTTTGAACAAAAGTTAAGATCTCCAACTTCTATTTCAGTCAGGCAAAGTTCTTGAAAAGATTTCTTTATCCCGGTTAGGCAAACTTTTCTGTAATATAATGCTGGCTTCACTAGCAATAAGCAAATCCATATATTGGCAGAAGAACAATTTCCTCAAACATTCTTCTTAAAGTCACTTTTAGAAATGGTTAAGTTCCTCAAATATTATGAGGCTTAGAGAATATCCCAATCAAGCAAACCCCTTTCAAATGAAAACTGTGAAATGGAGTAAGAACCTTTTGGAGGGCTTTGAATTATATTTTTCCTTTCCTTTTTTTCTAGTATCAACTTTACAATTCATCATTTTTTGAGATAATCGATAGTGACAAACTGTTGGCAATGACTCTGGTTGACTTAGAGACACTATACCAAGCTACTAGAAGAGCATAATATTGTTTTCTAAATCTGACTTAGAGTATCTAGTTTAGACTTAGTTTTGCTTAGTCTGAACTAGCTTAGTGGATTCCATATATTTTTTAAGTAGTATAGTCCTTTAATTAATAATGTACAACAACAAGTTAGTCGCTTTGTAAAAAGTCTATAAAATATTTAGGTATCTCTCAATATCTTAATAAAGATATGCCAAAGTGGTATAATTGTGAATTAAAAAAAAAATTATTTTAATATTTTGAAATTTTTTACTATTGTGATGAAATTTTATTTGATCAATACATTCGAGTGAAATTGTTTTTAAAAAAATAATTTCTAAAGAATAATTAAAGAAGCAGTTTATAATAATAAAAAAATATCAAAAAATAGATTTATCAAAAATTCTTTAAATAGTGTTATACAGTATTTCACAGGAAATATGATTTACTTAGAATTTAAGTTGATTAATAAATTAAAAAAACTAGGACTATTTTTTTAATCCTAAAATCAAAAAAAGATATTCAATCTTCAAAAAACTAAATGAAGTTATTTCTATAAACTTCTAAAAACAAGTGAAGTGGTCTATAAACTTATTTTACTTTTGAGCAAATTATGACTACTTATATACTTGTAAAAATGAGTCACTTGGGCCTTCTAGACTTTTTGAATTGTCTAATTTATAGTAAACTATATTATATGCTATATTTAATAAAATAATAAATACTAATTAAATATCAATAAAAATATTAATGAATATTAAAGAAATAATTATAAATAAATATATAAAAATAGAAATAGAATAAAGATTATAACTTTAAAAAAAAAAAGAATAAATATCATGACTAAAAATAACTTTCAATAATATTAGAAACTATTTTTATTACACTATTTAATAAATAAAATTTGAATATTTTTTTTAGATATTATAAGTTTTTAACTTGAATCAATTTATTAGTTAAATTTATTATTTATAGGACTTTTTTTAATATAAAGAAAGATATTAATATATATTGATTTAGTAAAAGCTTTATAAAATTGAAATTAAATCTTCAAGAGCTTATGAATTAATTTTTCTTAAAAAAATTTTTTTTATAAAGAAAAAATATAAAATATAAGTTGATTTTTATTATTATTATTATTATTTGTATATCTATAATCAGATTAAATTGTAGTTTATTAATCAACTGAATACATAAGTATATTTTCACTCAAGTAGCATAATATATACTATAGTTAAACATTTCTATTAAATCTAATAAACTTATAGTAAACAATAATAATATCTAAGTTTAATCTTGAAAATAATATTTTACTTTATGATAATTTTTAAGTAAATCTCTTCTAGTTCATTACTTTATTATCAATAGATTATAAATAAATCTCTTCTAGTTTATTACTTTATTATCAATAAGTTGTTACTTTCAATAAGTTTGTTTTTATTATATTTACCTTATGAAAAAATTATATATTTATTAAAGTTTAATAATAAATTATATATATTTTTTAAAGCTGTATAAGTTTTTTTCTTGTATTTAACATTGACTTTTTAATTTTCAAAAAAATTATCAAAAAATTTTATTTTAAGAAAACTAAAAATTAATAAAAAAAAATTTTTTTTTTATTTTTAATAAATTGATTTTTTTTTTATTTTTAATAAATTAATTTTTTTTTATTTAGTTATAGTATATATTATACTTAATAAAAATATACTTATTTTATTTTTTTAAATTTATGGTTGGACCAACATAATATATTTATTAATCTTTATAAAAACTAATAGAAATATATTAGGCAATTATATTATAGTGAAACTAAATCTTATATTGATTTACTTATCAATAACTTTCAATTCTCAAATAAGCTTAAGATTCTAAGTATAATCTTGGGAACAATATTTCACTTTGAAATAAGTTTTGAGTAAATATTATTATTTTCCAAGAAACTTATTTTCAAAACTACAATAGGGGAAAGGAAAAAATAGAAGGAAAGAGAATATCTAAAAATATACAAAAATATATATATGAAGAGAAAAAAAATAAAAAAAAAATAAAATTGCTTTATATTTTTCAAGAAATCTTTATTAGAAATCTTTCTTATTAGAAGTCAATTCTTCTAAAATATACTTTTTTTTTAACTATCTAAGGAACTTATTTATCTGTGACTTTAATTATTTTCTTGTAATTATTTAAAATACTTACATTTACTTGGATTCAATGTCTTGCTCATTACTTTATTTCTTTTAATATTGATTTTATATTTATTTATATTTTAATCACAGCTTATAATGGATTCCAGATTCTTATGTAACCTTTCAATCATATTATATAACTCCCAATATCTTTCAATAGCCATATCTAATTAAAAAATTTTTATTGATAAACATTTTTTATTGTTCAAAAAATCAGATTTTTCAATAGTCTTTTTGTCTTGCAATGGTAAGAGGATATTATAGAATAATGAGAATTCTTATTGATTATAATATTATTATATAATGTTTAAAAAAATTCTCAATTTTAGAGAAGAATAGTGATTTATAGTCTTTTACTTTTTGATCTTATTGCTTGATCAGAATAAGAAAATAATTCTCTTTATATATTTTGTTTAATCAGAATAAAAAGAAATTGAATATCTCAACCTGAACAAATAACTATCTTTTTATTATCTAAAGAATTTAATATTTGTCTTAATAGTTTCTTAATTTCTTTACTTTGATTATATTTTATTTAAAGAAATAGAATATTTCACATCAATAGTTTCTATTTCTTTTATTAATAACATTATCGAAATATGTAAAGTGCCCAATAGGTATTTGTTTATATTTAGCTACTAACATATTTTATGTCCACCAATTAGATTTTACAATAGATTATATTATCTAAAATTCAGGATCAAACTGAGATAAATAAAATTTTCTAGAAAATCAAAAAATTTTAAGTGACTATAAAAAAAAATAATAATAGACAAACACTTTAAAAATTATTTGATATTTATTACCTTCCACTATACAAAATTTCTATAAATATAAAGGTTTTGGATATAATACTATTAGTTTTTCTTTCTTATAAACTTTTTTGTCATAGGTAGAAAAGATGTTTCTTGACTTTTCTGGATCATAGAAAGCCAAGTTTTTATTTGAAGATAAATATAAATAAGAAAGAAGGTTTGGGAGTATCTCTTGTAATAAAACTTCAAGTTGATTTAGAAATAGTGTCAAGACTTTATTAGCAAAGAAATAAAAAATTTCTTGAAAATATCTTTTTTGTGTGTGATCAAAGAATCAGTAGAAAAAGTTTTTATAAGCTTAATAAAAACATATGTCTATATTTATTTGATTAATAAATTAATAATCTAGCTTGACTATTAAATAATATTTAATTAATAAATTTTTTATAACATTAAATTAAATAATAAAAATTGTGATGTTTTTTTTTTATTTATTTATCAATAAACAATTATTGTTGACAATTACTATAGTAACTTTTAAGAGATGCATTATCAAAAAATGATTTATTAATTGTTTAAAACCATTGAAATATTATGCAGGTCCTAAGCTTAAGTGCATTTTATTTGGTTGGACTAATATTGGTTTTACTTTCAGTATCTCGCCGACTTCTCCATCTGCTGTACCGCTAAGCTTTCCGGGAATTCCAAATTCTTTTACCACCACTGTTTTCTCCCCTTTATCTAAAATATCAATTATAATTCCGGATAACTCTGGTAAAGATCCAGTTTCTATCATACGATTCAACAAACTAAGTATCCAAAATTTCTCACTACGTAGCTGTATCCTACTTATTTCTCTTTCTTTTGATCGAATGTGTTTTGCCATATTATCCAACTCCTCTTTAGAAAATGGAAATTTTAAACCAAGAAGGTAAGATTTCATCTGCCAATGTGCCAATATGTCTACATATCGACGCAATGGTGATGTAACTTTCGTATAACCACCAAGAATTCCCATAGCCCAATGCGGCCCATATTCTGTTGAAAGTTCAGCAGACGTCATCAGTGGACGCATCTTTACTATAGACGAAACGGGAACAACACCGTTCCGTGCATCCCTTAATTTCATCTCCTCTTCCAGGATTTGTGAATTAGGAATATACTGTTTTCTGTATAAAATGGGTATACCCCGTTCCTGACAAAATTTTGCTGCAACGACACCAGCCAATATCATGTATTCTGCAATCATTGCACGAGCGGGAGAATGCATGCTTTTATCAAGTCCAACCTGGATGGTAGGCATTCCCGTATACAAAATTGGACCTTGAGGTTCGGGAGGAGCGACCGGAAGTGGAAACGGCGACAACTGAATTGACGGCTGCGGCATTCCCATGTTGAGTGCTCCAGCTTTTATCCTATTTTTTACGTGTAAGAATGAGATTTTCTGTAAATCTTTAAGATCTTCTATTGACAAAGGCGACAGCTCTCCGTGCACATTTTTCGGCACAGGAATCGGTCGAGGATGATAAAGCCGTTGCTTTTGAATAAATTCAATTTCCTCCCTTGTACCACCAATATTCTCCCACGATAAAAAAGTATCGACATCGTCATAAAATAAAGTTTTTACATTTCTAACGATACCCGGCCGTACATTGTAGTCTAGTAGATTTCCATCCTCCCCTATTCGAAAGCTAAAAGACATTACACAGTTACCCTGGCTTTCTGAGTTGACTCCCAAGCTAAATCTCTGCTCGCTCATTATAGATGGCAACATCGCATAGTGTCGGTCAGGAAAATAGACACTTTGAACTCTTGATTGTGCAATCTGTGACAACCGATGAAGAGGATGAATGTACGTAGACGGATCTGCAACATGAACATGAACCCATGTTGAAGATGGTTCCAATTTACTGGCGTTAACGCGTTCAATCGATATTCCATCGTCAAGTTCATGCGCTGTATGATCGTCAACCGTGTAAACAGGAAGATCGCCGAAATCATGTCGGATATTTTCGTAAATATCGTATCGATAAAAATCATTAGGCCCGAGGTTCTGAACCGTTTTAACGGGGGGCAGCTTTATTGAAGTCAAGGGTAATGAAGTTTCCCCGGACGATTCAAGTTTTTTGTCATAGATAAATGGTTTGGTATTCATTAAGTTTGCAGCTAGTTTCATGGATTCCTCGTAATCCCTATCCGCCTTTCTTGACATTCCGTGACCATTCAACATAACTGAAGACTCATAAACGTTCAGGTTTTCCCACGGTGTCCATACTCCTATGTCTTTCAAGAACCTGATAGCACATTCTTTATCAAGATCACAGTCATACAGTCTCATAGGTTTAAGGATAGCTGCTATGGAAGCATCGAATGAATTATTACTTACAATGTAAGATTTGAAAAAATTGATAAATAGTTTATCGTCCTCATTAAAGTCGGGAAGGGTTTCAACTTTAGTGAAAGAGATATCCGAATCCTCCTTGTTCACAGCGACCGTACGTCTATAATTGATAATCGACTGTGTCTTTGATTGGAACGCTGTATATTTTGGATCCCGTGTTCTGATCCATTCCAGCACTTTTATTATCGCATTGACATCAGCTTTAGCTCTTAATTGAATATTTCCGCCTTCCCTCAATTTGTTGGGATCAGTCATAAAGTATACATTTTCTCTAAGTACATACGTGATTGTTGCAAGGAGCTGTGGATTTTGTGGCTGACTTGTCTTGAAAACATGGCAGGCTAAATCTTTGATGTTGACGACTTTCACTTCCATTTCATCGGAAGGTGCAAAATGCGAGTAAATTTGACGAAATTCTAGGATTCTAGATTGCAAGAGAATCGCTGCCGATTTTGATAGGTCGCCCGCAATCTTTCCATAATTTGAAGGAATCGGAGAGCCAGGTGGAAGAATGGAATCGTTAAATTTTTGAGTATACGCATAGCCACGAATGTAAAATACCACTTCATCATTACGGTGTGAGATTACGAAACCGTTTGATAGTAATATATGGTTCTTCCCTAAAGATGTAGGGTCTGAACGCGTTTTAATGACGATTCCTGAATAAAATCTTCCGTTTCTTTTATAAAAATTTTTTAGATTCGCTATGGTATACAGTAATGTGGAATAAAATCAACTAAGTTTCATTACAAATACCTTCTTATTTCAACGTAATCACCAATTTCCAAACGAGTACTAGATGACGTCTGATTCTCGATATCCGCAGGATTGGTTTCTGACTCTGCTTCCTTGACATCTACCTTCACTGAATTAAGAACGGTTGCGTTGTTTGAAGGATTTATATTGAGTTCTCGTTTCCGATCGTCATCTCTCACTGCAGGCTCGGTAACTAACGTATTTTTAGCTTTTAATTCATTTACTGCTCTTTTGATGGTTTTTTGTTTATTTGCAGGTCTAGATGTAATCTTAATTTCCGATGAACTTTCAACAGATGTAGACTTGGTTTTGCGTGTTTTGGAGGGTTCTTGCTGCGAAACGGTTGATTTTTGAATTCTTTACTTAAGAGTATATATAGTAAATTTTAAATATTTTATTCGAAGTTTTGGCAACCATATTAAGAATACAAACCAAATATGTTTACCCTAATTTTTTGTTCGGTGGCTTCGATATCCGCTTATTTTGAATGGACAAATCAGCAACTTCTTTATTATTCAATGGTAGAGCGGTATTCTTCTTCATGTTTGAAACATTATCCTTATTTCGATTAGCATTTAATTCCGTTGCTGCCTTTGACGGCTTTTGCTGTTGTGCATGTGATTTATAAGTGAGTGTCTTTGTCCCATAGTAAAGTTTATTTTTATATGAAAAAGACGTGTTCGAGTAGATTTGTATACAAGATAATCTCGCTCGTTGGGACATTAACAATAATGACATTTTTCAGATCTGCCCATTAACACACCACAGTTTAAATATACAAAAGTAAAGTATCACTTGATCAAATCCGGTTTCTTTTCATTTATGCTTCATTTGTAAAGAGTATATTACTTCGAATACTGTATATAGTAATTTATTTATTTGTTTTTTGTTTTTTTTTTTTGTAGAAATTGCAACCTATTCTTTTTCTTGTATTTATGCTTTTATATACAGAGAACCCTTCTTAAATGCACTCTTTATTTTGATCTAGATTGAGACCTAATAGTATAATAAATTTTATATTAATCTCATATAACTATTGGTTGGAATTAAAACAAGGTTAACTAGAATTAAAATGGTTAATTGGGATTAATATAGTTATGCAAAATTAATTATACAAAAAACTTTTTTTTTTTTTTTTGAGTACCTATAGCCAGGCTAGATCATCAGTTTATTAATCAATTGAAAACATAAGTGCATTTTCATTCAAGTATTAATTCTAATTTAACTAACCTGTTGTAGGTATAAAAGCCTTTAAGTTTGACCTTGAAGACAATATTTCATTTCACAGTGTCTTTGGGTAAAGACTTTTTTAGTCCACTGCATTATTACTAGCAGATTGTTACTACTGTATATTTGATCAAGCCACTAGAAAAATTACAAAAAGATAGATTGAAAAAAAATAGAGAGGATATCTAAAAATATTTACAGTAAATAGATAACAAGAAAATAAAAAGTAAAAATTGAAAAAAAATTATTTTTGACTTTTTTCAAAGACTTGTTTCTTAAGACCTCTTTTTAATAAGAAATGCTCAATTAGTATATCTTTTCTTTTTCTAATCATTTAAGAAGAATTGAATCATATTGTTTCAGTATAATACCTTTCAACAGTCATGTCTAATTAAAGGAATTTTACTGATATATATTTTCTATTGTCTAAAAAGTCATTCCTCAAAGATCTTTTTGTCTTACAATGGTGAAAAAGTATTAGAAAAGCAGTAGGAATCCTCGTTGATTACAATATCCTTCAACAATTTCTAAAAAAATATATTCTCAACTGTAGTCAAAGGGTTAGAGCTCAGTATGGACTAGAGACCATTCGATCTTATTACCTAACCAGAATAAAAAGGAGACCTTAATCTTGAACTTTACTTAATTGAAATAATAAGAGAGAAAGATCTCGGCTTGAACAAATAGCAGCTTTTTTATTATCTAAAGATTTGTTGCTTATATCTTATTGACTTTATTGAACTTAATCTATAGGTTAATCCAATTGGAGGAGTAGGTATATACAAGGCATTAATCAACTCTTTCAATCACCAATGATATCATCGAAATATGTAAGGTGATCAGTAGGAGCTTGTTTATATTTAGTTACTAATGTATTTCATATCAACCAATCAAAAGCCTGGTAATATTGTGTTATTAGAAATTTAGAGTCAAACCGAGGTAGGCAAAATTCTTCAAGAAAACCATGAAAAACAGTAAATACTTTAAGAAAAAATAGAAAAGTATGAGAAAGTAGATAATAAACCTTTCTTTATCAACAAAATCTTTATTTCTATCATTTTGACTTTGTAAAGTAATACTCCACTTGTCAGTCCTTTTACTTCCTAGAATCTTCTTGTCCTTAGTAAAGGAAGTGCATACTTGAATTTTTTCAGATCGCTAGAGATCTAAATTTTTATTCAAAGAAGTTTATAAACAAATAAGGAAAGATAGGAGAAATATCTAAAAACAAGCTTCAATTTGTTTTAATGAAAGGATAAGGACTTTATTAGCAAGGAAGTATAAAACTTTTTGTGAATATCTTTTTTATATGTGATCAGAAGATTAGCAGAAAGAGTCATTATAATTTTTTTTTTAAATGTTGTAATAAAAATAGTTTTTAAATTATTAAATAATTTTTAGTTATAATTATTTATTTTTATTTGTTTATTTATAATTATTATTTTTTTTTTTAAATATTTAAACCACAATTGGTATTAGATGTGAGACTTTATTTAACAATTTAATTTCAATGTCATTACATCAAATATCTCTACATATACAAATTAATATTAACCTATCACAACAATTCTAGCTAGATCTACTATTACTTCATGAATAAACACATCTAGCTAGTGATTGGATGATTAATATACAATCATAAATGGTAATACTAGGTTAGTTAATATGGTATTCAAATGACTTTTTTAAATTTACTTAACTAGTCCTTTCTTGTATATATCTAATGGGATGTAAATATCCTTTATTATTCCTATATATTATTCAATTAGATCTCAAAAAGAGACATGTTACCTTTTTTATTACCACCTGTGACATCAGATCAGTTTTTATTAATTGATTTTTAATTAAGCGAAGCATCAGATTGGGATATCCTGAACTAGGAGAGTGGGGATCCTAAAGGCTACCAGGGCAAAATGGGCTTGAGTATTTTTGTGAGAGACTAAATCAGAAGCCTTACTTTATACAATTCTTTTAGTAATATGATTTTAAGTTTCAGCTCCTAATTGACGAAAGATCAGAAGTTCTATCTTCATACAACCTAATCTGTTTCAAACTTGTTTCAGATGATTAGATATGGCTTTCATAGAATAATCAGTTAAACTTAATTAAAAGAATAATTTCGATTTTTGATCCTTAAGTAATATTGAACTATAGATCTTGTGATTGTAACCTGTGAGTACTACCACTGTGCTATTGACCTACAGGGTTTTTTTTTTTAATAGCTGGCAAAGTCATGCCTTGTAGTTTTTATTTAATTATAGATACTTTCTTATATACACAAATTTAATTGTGAGAAAATATATTTATAATAGAGAAAATACCAATAGCTCAGTATTTTTCGAACCCTGCATTTATTCAAAGGGTGAATGTTAGCATGTCATGACTCTACTAACACTGATATTTATATGAAAGAGTGAGTTAAAATTAAAGCCATTCTGTAAAATGTTCTTCATATTTAGGTTAGTTAACCCTATATACAGTTGATTTGAATCCAGGGTCTGATTCTTTATCCCTTACTTTGCTTCCTTTCCTGATTCCTTCTTGATCCTTCTACTCTTGTTTCATTTTATCTTCTTGAAAATTCCTTGTGATTTTTCTTATTTGATTATCAATTCACATTTCCACTTCCACACTTTTGTTTTCTCCTTCCAGAAGTATATTGTAACTACTTTCATTACAGTTTTTGTGACCTTTACATCTCCTACAATTTCTTCTACTACTCTCATTATTTTATGGATAATTGCTCCTCTTATTATATCTCTTTATTCTATCTTGTCTGCCCTATCTGTATTTCTTGTACATATTGATGATTCAAGTAATTGTCTCCATCTGTTCTGTATCTGTTCTGTTTATTTGTTACCTTCTACTCTCAATGCATATTCATTTGTAAGAAAGATTATGTACTTCTTCTTCAGTCTTGTTTCATTCGATCTATATGTAAAGGGGTGAAGCTTCCTCTCTTTCTGTCTCTTACAGATTATACAAGTTAGACTCTTGTATAGATGTAACCTTCAAATGTTCATGTTTGCTATCATTGGATACTCATCTAACCATGTTTTTCATCTAAAGGTTTTATCTCTGTGGTCCTTGCAATCAGTTTGGAGTAATATTATTTTTAATAGTGCTAGTATCTACATGGTCATATTCCAGTCTACCTCTTGGACCTTCTATCTAGAAAGCCATTTCTGGTTGTATCTTAATGTTTTCTACTTGCTGGTTCATTTGGTTTTGAGAAGTGCTTTTTCTACTATTTTAAAGGAGAGGTTAATAAAGGACTGGTCCTATCTTAATACTATCATTTACTAGTATTCAGTTTCTAGATCTTGATTCTGTCTTTATACTTGTCTAATATTATTGTTGCTGCTAGTTTGTCTACTGACTCATTTCCTGAATTGCCTAAGTAGCACTTGATTTTTATCCATACCACTGTAATGTTTTGTACTAATATGAACTTCTATATTGTATTGACAAGACTCCTGTTTGGGGTTTTTGATACTTGGTTCCTCTTTACTTGCCTTGTTCTAATCTTTTTTATTGCATTGATTGCACTTTGACTATCCATAATGATATTTATTCTCTTGTTTGTACTTATTATACTGATTATTATAAGTATTACTGTCAACTTTACCTATATTAAAAATAGTGTGTTCTATGTTTCTACTTGGAACCTAGCTATTTCTATTTTTTTTTCTGTTTGGATTACCTATTCTATTCCCATTCTGCTATCTGCATTCTATTGTGTAAAGAAACTGTTTATATAAATTTGAAGATTATTGTGTAAAGCTATCTCCTATACTATCTGTTGCAGTCTTATAATTGTTCTTGTCAGTATCCTAAGCTTTTTACAGATTAGCATTTTTGTGATAGATACTGGATT